CCCCAAAACCCCAAAACCCCAAAACCTCAACACATATTATAAATCGTATCAAGGGAAAATATAATAAAGATAAAACTAAAAATTCTACCATTACTTTGCGATATAATATGTATAGCAAATACAATTAGTTAATGTAGAGTTAAACTAATTAGTATTAACTAATCAGAGTCATCAATTTTTAATATAATTCTTCTCAATGTCACTCTAGATTTTAGACTTAGTTGACTTTATGTTATATTTACTATAGGGGCTAGGATTATGTGACTAAGCTTTGATTTTCTTATCCATTGTTTTATGCTGTTAATCATTTAAAGTTTTTCTTAGCATTGTATAGCAAAATGACAATTTACTTCTATTAGTGGCGAATGTTCCACTAAGCAAATCTTGCATTCTGTTTTTTGCATCAGTCTTGTTTTTTTGTAGAGTGTAATTTAAACTATCAGCTGTGAGAAATGAGCTTCTTGGATAATTAGAGAATTTATTAGTTTATTCCTCATTATAGGAATAGAGAAGTTTATGTTCTTTGCTTTCATTGGACAACATCTAGTATAGCAAAGAAGTGTCTAGCTAATCCACGTTTTAAGTAATCTTATACTCTGTTTCATGAGAAGTCAACTTTTCATTAAAAGAGTCATTTGGCGCATCACTTTATTATATTGATCCACTATTTTGTTTCATATTATCGTAATTGGTGTGGCTCACAGAGGAAGTAACAAGATCCTCTGGTAAGCTAGAATATTTTGAGACAAATGACTCATTTTGATTAGAGATTTTTGAGTGTTTCTTTTTCAATTAACAGAATTATTCGGACTAGAGCTGCTTTGGTATTCTATGCCTCTCACTTGTTATATAAATATGAGAATCTTCAAGATCAATTTACAAAATAGGAATTTCCTTTTTCAAATCCTTTATTTAATCATCTACTTCATGAATTAATTCATTCTCCTTGAGATGATTGGATTAGTTTTGATTTAATGCAAGAGATACACTGCGTTTTTGACTACCAAAAGCTGCATTCTAACGGCAGCAAACAAGATCGTATAAGTTTTAAAGCATTTTTATTTTATTAGAATTTAGTATGGAAGTTGTTAGTGATTCTATTGAGATAGCTACTTAAAACTTGAAAATTATTATAATTACAAATCAAATTTTCCATGATTTACAACTTTTGATAATAATGATATATTCATTCCAAGGGGTTTTGGGGTTTTGGGGTTTTGGGGAGATCTCCTCATTGTTGTTTATTCTTTCTT